CCGCTCTATCTGGAAATTAGATTACATTGGCTGGCACTCGGACGATCGGTACTCAAGATATCTGAACAGGGGAACCAGATACACACCCGCCAGTTTTAGTCGGTTAATTGGCGACCAAGACCTTTATGCCCTTTGCAATGTTACGTAACTCAGCACTCAACGAGTCGGTGCTTCTGACAGTTGACATATACATGATGATAGAAAAAGAGGGTGTATAACTCTTTTACGGTTGATAGTACGCGCCTAGTGATGAAACGAAGTTTTAATAAATAACTCAGTGCAGAAGAGCCTTCGAACACTCTTCGATCATTTACTGTACTTAGTACCTGGTACATTCGGTACTGGAATATTTGTTACAACTCAATGGTTCTTCGGAACGTAATATTTCAGGCTTCCACGAATATGTCTCTGTAACAATTATTATTTTGTATTCCTAATGTTTCAGTGTATATTACCATTGTTTTAAGAACGCATGACGATCCTCAAGGCACATTGTCCAACGAAAATGTGTATACAGGTAAGAGAAAATTCTCGTAGCAACCCGTACTCGTACACAAAAGAAAAAAGAAACACATTACACGTAGGTGGAAAAGAAGAACGAAGCGTTCAGGCGACAGAAAACACACACGGTCACTTATTGTGTACAACAACGTGTCCAGATTTACAGTATGTATAGTAGAGTTGCATGTAGGTAGGAAAAAACTGATGATTTACGTTAAAGGCATGTACGGTTCTTTATACAGCTTTGCAACAGAAGCGGTAACAATCAAAAAATGGTATACGAAAGGAAGCGCTTCCTCGAAAACGTAACAAAAATAAAAAAAAAAGAAACAGGACCAGCAGAGTCGTTTTAATAAGAATCCAGAGAGAAAACGGGCAGAAAGCTTACATACGATCGTCAGAGAAATCCCGTTGAAAGATCATTCATTTTTTTTCGGGGCGCTTGTTCGTTGTGTTCGCTATTGTGATCCTCTGCGACTCTCGCGTGTCGGTCGGTTCCTATGCGTGTGTATTTTGTATTAAACTCCTGAACCGTTTGGTAATCCTCTAATTGATCGGCTAAATCTCTAATTCAATTATTGTTTTAACTTGTTCTCCTTCTTTTATTCTTGTTGGTGTCAATATCTAGAGGTATGCGACTAGGAAATGTTACGTAATGGAATTTTAAGAGGTGCAAGTATTCAATTGAACTTACAGCATCGATTGATTTTATGGACGGATGTGCAAACAGTATCTTTGAGAAACTCGAAGTGATGTGTATTGTGTGGTCGTGCCTTTCGAATAATTTGTGTGACCGCGAGAGATTGATCGTTTATACATAATTTCTTATTGTTAGACAAACGCGGTGATCCTGCAACCCCAAAGCTCGCATTAATAGGTTGAAAACCGAGGCAAATTTGTACCAATGTCTTCTGGCTGATTATTCCTTTAACGAAGTTATTGTTTCTGTTACTATTATTCCTCATCTTGTTCGGCTCGATGATCAATTTATTCGTCATATTTCGATCAGGCTTGAATAGCTTCGATTGAATCGTCTAACTCGTGCTTGAATAATACGCAATTCAGGTGGAGAGACAGACGGTTGATGGAAAAAGAAATGACAGGTAATACGTTTCCCGAGCATCAGTATCTGTACAGAGATTATCGGTCAACTATCTACGTAGAAACGCTCTAACTATATATCGGTAATTAGTCTCAGGAAGTATTGATACCCAACGAACGTCTACGTCACTACATAAAAAGAGGAGGTATAATGAGAAAGGATTGCCAAAAATATAAAAAAAAGTGAATGTTAAAAATGGTGGCAAGGGGGTAGTCGTTCGCTCTTATAAACAGTGAATCGATATTTGTCAAGTGTAATTATCTAAAAGAGAAACTATTAACTATCTAATCAGGATGTGTGTTATAGATATATGTATATGTATATGGATATGCATATATGGTACAATGTTCGTATCAAATATTGATTACGAAGTATCTTTCATTTCTTTTCCGAATTCATACCCGTGTACGTTCAACGGTATATCATAAAAGAAAAAAAACGGAAAACGAAGATACTTTTAAACGCTACGGTTCTCATACTCTGATGCAAGGTCGAATATCTCCTACCGAGTGATCGTACAGCGAATAAAATAATAATATGTAATAAAATAAATAAATATGTACAGTATCGTTCTTGTAAATACTTTACTGTTGGACATGCAGACTTCTTCGAGGTTCACCGTCGAGTAAACTTAGCACGTTGCGGGAACCGAAGGAAGTCGATCGCAATTGTTAATTACCACAATATCAAAGGTTAATAGTATTCACATAATCTCTTGTAATTTGTGTATAACACATAACTATTCTCGTATATATACTAGTTGACTTTCCAGCTCGATAAATGGAACATGGAGTGATCGAGGATAGTCCTCAAATACTGTTCTCAAACTGTCGATCGACTTCGCTCGAACTTCCTTGACAAATCGTGGGGTTGCAGTCGGTTGGATTAACTTCTTCTTGTGGGTGGTTTTTCCTGTAGGTGTGTGTGTGCTTGCGTGTGGATCGCGTAGACACACGAGTGAAATTGTAAGTCGTGTAATAGTAAAACGTGATGGTGTGTCGACGTGGAACATCAAGAAAAGAATTTCTATTCCATTACGGAAACAAAAAAAAATGAGTTTTGTGCAGTAAACAGACCGGAGAACTCGCAGTGTGTGTGTGAGTGTGTGTATGTGACATGTTTCTAAGCAATTAAATTGTATATGATTGGAACAGATACAGAGAAAGAAAGAGAGATAAAGGCAGAGAGAAATAGTTCGTGATAGAGATATTCAGAAAGTAAAGGAAGAAAGAAAGAAACATACAGAAGAAATATCATGACTGCGTTTGGTGACTTTTAATCATTAATGTGTGAAAAACGGTGTGAATCGAAAATTCGGCGTTTCATTAAAAAGGAATACCAAAAAAAAGGAAGAAAAATCAGCCTGTGAGAGTAGTAATTTCTCTGTGTGTATTGTGTGTCAACTAACCTCATCCTTGTCCAAGCCGAGCTACGAAAACGTTAAACTGAGGTTAAAATTCGTTTGTTCATGATTTTCGTGATTGAGATTTAATTGTTGTTCAGAGAGAGAGAGAGAGAGAGAGAGAGAGGGGGGAGGGAGAGAGAGAGGGAGAGAGAGAGAAAAAGAGAAAGCGAGATAAAGAGAGAGAGAGAGAGAAATCGAAAAAAAGGAAAAGAAAGCACGGGACCATTGTTGTCACACACTTTTTTTCCTCATAATCGATCGAGAATTCATCGAGAACTTAAAAGATTTTTAATCATTTACGTGCGTGATTCGTTAGAAAAGAGAAAAAAGAAAAGAAGGAATAAGGTAATTCTCTTTCCTCTCGTACGAATTTCGTTACAGACGGTGATTAGATTCACCGAGACGTGAAACCGCCTCTCGCCGGCAGAATAATTAATTCATGCATCGTGGCCATGGAAACGAGATTTTCTTGCAACTCGAGCGCAATTAAAATTACGCCGGCCTATTTCTGCCCCTCCGTTCCGCGGAGCAGCAGAAAAAAAACAGAAGGGGTGAAGAAAGGGGTCGCGCGCGCACAGTTTGCCCCGCAGAAAATGCATTTCTTAAACGCCCACGGTGTGTGGTCGATTCTGCGCCTCGAATTCTCCTCCCTTCTCGATTTAAGCGATGTTTATCTTTTTCCCGTTCTTTTTGTTCGTTGACCGCCAGTAGGCGCGCCGTGAAAGCAAAAGAAAAGAAGTCACCTTGCAAACAGGTGGTACACGCTGGATTACGGACGGAAGGAAACGCGAGAATCCACGAGAGACGGAAGAAACAGTAACTGATTCAAGAACACACGAGAGAGAAAAAGAAACAAGACAAAGAAAGTAGAAAAACACGAAGAAAAGAATATTTTTTACAAAGTAGAGAAACTTGACGGGGAATTGACAGATAAAGTTATTATATGTAACACGTTGACAACCAGAGAGCAGAAATCTTTACAGCGATAGAGAAACTTACTTACACGTGTATACAGATCAGGTGTGTATGCATACGTGTGCGTACAGGTACAATGGTTTCACTTAAAAAGAATTCCGTTCTGTTCGAATTCGCCTCTCTTATTTCAGTTCTTTTTTTTTTTCAAAGTTCAAATGGAGAAGCTATTCAATTGCAGAGCGAAGATGTCAATTTCTTCGAGTGTAGTAGAGTCTAATCGAATTATCGGTTGAACATACGTAGGTATTTGTTATTCGTATTCTCATCCTGTAATATATGCCTGACAAATGACGTACGTGTACCACTCGTGAAGCTTGTGTTGGAATATCGGTCCAGACAACGAGAATCCGTTAAGTTAGTTCTCGTTTGTCGGTACATAGATCGTGTGCACATTAAAACATATAAATATATATACATAGAATATATATGTATATACGTATATATATGTATGTCGAGCCGACTAACTTTCGACAAAGAAAAAAAAAAAGAACTCATTCAACACCGAGAAAACGTCGAAAAAAGGGAAAACGAACTAAGCACCAATTCGGTAAGACACACCTATGGGCACTTAACTTGGGCTCGGCATGTCATCCTAATCATATTTACGAGCTAACATCGACATTCTAGAAACTTCAACCGAACCTCCGATCTTTTCGTCAAATCACTTTCTTCTTTACTTCGTTAACGTTTGGCTATTATTCATTTTGTGTGTACATACCAAATCGTCATAACGTTTAGAACATTTATCAAATGTGATGTGTGTTCTTTTGTAACAGTGAAATAATTGTTCTTATCAAGAATTTTATATAATTATATGTATAGATCTGGTGACCATAGCGACGCGTTCTTCGTGAACTTCAAAAGTTTCGGGGGGCGATTAATAGAAAGTGACTTCACCGGCGATCAGAATTCGGCCTGCAAGGAAGACTTATGGAAAAACGTGTAACGTGCGACGGTAACTTACCTCGTCAGTGTCGGAGCCAACGAGGAAAAGGTCGAAGGGTATGGCGGCGACCAGGTCGATGATGAACCAACCCTTCAGGTAATGGACGGCTATCTTTGCAGGATGGGACACCACTTCATCGTTGCTGTTCACGAATGTCGTGCGAAAATTTATGATGATGTCCACTATGAACGTGACGTCGACTGTAAAAACGAAAAAATTCATGAGAACATCGACGACATTGAGAACGACGAAACATACATTTCTGAAACGTTACCTCTGCAGGCAAAACCATCCAAAACAAAAAAAAAGGAAAAGAAATAAATTCGTTTTATACGACGGTATATATCGTCCTAGAACTAGTACAATAATACCAGAGACTATTAAAGCAAACAATACGTGGCTATTCATACTCCAAAAATCACATCGTATGATCGATCTAAGGAACTACAGAGACTCACATATTTGCTCAGATACTTCCGAAATAACAATTGAACGTACAAATTCATATGCAACTTTTTTGTGTGTTTCTTCATGATTTTTACTTTTATTGTACTTTAGTGAAAAGTATCTCTTAGTTTTGACATGAAATTCGTAATTTAGTACGAATTTTTGTGAAATAAAGGTAACAGCCTTTCGTGCACAAATCTATGAATCACTGTATATAAACACTAGCTTGCCAGAATAAGAGCCCGACAAATTGGTTTTTCTACTTCTCAACAGATATTTTCTCTCTACGGATATCTCTCTCATGCTACGCACACAGTGAAACAAGAGAACGTATAACCCGACTGAGTACGGACACAGCGATAGTTTGAATGAGAATCACCTATGAAGTCTATGATGACGATAGGGTCGTCACTGTATTTCTTGTTCTTCCTGCTATTGTAATCCGGATCCGACAGGACGAAGGCGGCTACATACGGGGTGAATATCGCCGTGTACATGACCAACAGCAGTATCACCCAGTCCCAGACCGCCTTGAAAGGTGAGTAGTGCAGTATGGTCCACTTGCCGATTCTAGGAGACTGTAATTTGTACTCTGGGAGGATGTCGTTTCCAAGGGACAGCACCTGAAGCACACGGTATCAACACCTTGGGAGAAAACAGACTAGAACCCTAGGTTTTCGTCGTTTCTTTTCTTGACGATTGAAACAGGGATTTCGTTCTGTTTGTTACGAAGGCAGAATATCGATGGTATTTAGATCGTTTCACTTCATTCACATGGATGTTCTTTCGGTTCAATTCCCGTGAAAGGCAGTAAAATATTTTACGATAATACACTGCACGACATGAGCATAAAACTACCCTAAAATTTCCAATTCTTATGTATTGTGGTTAAAATAAAAACGGACCAAATATGTCATGTTTCTCCAGTAAAATATATATATATTATATTCCACACAGACAAGTGGTTCATTTTTGTTTTAATCAGAATACATAAGGATTGAAAATGTTGGGGTGGTTTTATAGTTATGCCACGCAGTGTATAAAGATGGTTGGAAACTTAAGTTTCATTTTATATAGTAATGTTGTTCGGATATATTTCGCTGAATTCCAGCCAGATATGACGAAATATTTATATAATAATATTTCATCTTGGTTTCTCTGTGTTTTTCCCGATTCCACGCGGAATTGTTTTTACGGTCGGAGTATTTTCACTGAACGTCCGATGGAAATCAAACAATACAACGGCAGAAAGGGAAAATATTTCGCACCACGTTCACCTGAACCACAGTCCGTTTCGTATTCCTTTTGTTTCGTGAAACGGAAGAGCAAAAAAACAATAGTTCCTCTCTCTCTCGTATATGCCTCGTGTTTTCAATTGCCATCTGCCTTTAATCGAATACTGTTACCCACGAAAGTACAGAAAAAAACACTGCCTATTGTTCTATACAGGGGGACAAATATTCTATCCAATTTTTCGAAACAATCTCGTGTGACACGCCTGCACACGGTTTCAGTTTAATTTTTCGTTCGCAAGTCACTTAAGAGGAAACTTTACTGTACACAAATCAGATTAAGCTTCTCGAACACGAAGTATAAGTATGTTTTCACCTGGAAGAAAACTCGCTAACAAACGCGTAAAATAAAGAAAAAGAAGAATAATCTTAAAGATCTCTTATTAACGACCACGATTCTCAGAAAACACAATGGAAACTACCACCTAATCGCACGCTACGCAAAAACCAACGAAACCATTATAAACAAAGGAAAGAACTCCTAAAACACAATCATGGGAAGGTACGACGGTCTGACCTGTCTGGCACAGTAGCGTTTCGACTTGCTGATCGGACTCTCTGCCATTTAAGCCCTTGCCTCTGCAGGTTCTGCAACGAAACCACAGGGCCACCAATCGACCATAAGTAAACACTCTCCCGGCACACACTATATGTATACTGTCCACTATACACACATACGCAGGCCCAGGCACATATACACGTGCACTTCTCTCAGCAACTAGCCGACGACTGGCGATCGTGTGAATATATCCACTTCACGACGACTCAGGGCAGCGATTCGCACAGGTGCGCGGAACAACAGAAATCTATCCTCGAATCCAGGTCCAGATCAATCGAAGTCTCATGGCTGTATTCAATCGAGAGGGTCGAGAAACGCCACGAGTCGGAAAAGCGGCGGCAAAACGACTAGTCGATCCCACCCCGAAGGGGGGTGGTAGTGGAAAGGCACGAGAAATGGGGGAATATCGATCCGACCGGACGTGTACAGTTGTACACGTCGTCCCAAATACCCGCGAGAGGGATGATGTCGGATTGTTTATACACCACGCGACGAGGAAGAACCGGAAGAGTCCTGCTCGAGTGCTAGCCCCACACTGATGCAATGCGGGACCGCGAAGGGTGGCGTTCGATTGGCGAAGGAGAGAGGAACGAGCGACTCCCAGAGAAAGAGAGAGAGACAAAGTGTAAGAGGGATAGAGAATGTAAGAGAAGGTACGCGTGTGTTAGTCCGGGGCAACCCTCGTCGTCACACCCTACACAACGTCGACCCCATGTTTCGAAGTACACAACCTTAGAAGCAGGGTTAGCCTTATTACCTATAATAGTAGCTGCCTTCGGCGACCTCGCCTAGGCCAATAACAAGCCCGCCAGGATTCAACATGTACCTTTCTTAATAGGACACTAATCACTGACGGGGATGATGATGCTGATAGTCGAGCGAGCTCAGCCTGCTGCCTCCTTTCTCCCGAGTATACAGGTAGGTCTTGATTAGTGAGAGTAATAAATTTCAAGAATTGATCGTGGTATTTGAATTCGGACTGTTCGAATACTTGAAATACAGGAACTGATTCTACATATATTACCTTTCCTTCTCTTCGAGCTCGCCTAATGGCGCTGAGGTGCTCCATTTATTTTTCCTACGCCATCACCGTCACTATACCGTGGTTTATTCCGCGCGTTTGTTTAGACGCCGCGCGCCGCTTCGATTCGATGTCGGGAGCGTAACGGGTGTATTTACCTGGGCGGTTGGGCTCGATCTGGGATCTGTTGCGCCCCCGGACTTTTCACTTTTATTATATACTAGCTTTTTCATTTTCGTAAAGAAAATTTTTAAATTGAATTGTAATAAAGAATGTGTACACATTATATTGGTATATTTATCCTCGTTATTCGAACACCTTTTCGCACCCTGGAGATGGAATTTAGAAACATCGTGAAATCACTTGTAATAATCTTTCTAAATTTCCACATTTTGCCCTAACTTTTGATTTTCCGGTGGGTCGAAGTTCGGATTTCTTCCGCTCGATAACTAGTGACACGATAAAGAAGACACATTTCCGCGCGACGCCCCCACGAGAGGATCGTTTCGAAATCGTCTGGATTTAGCTGAAGACCCAAACGACTCTGTCTGTCGAGGACAGGAACTCCAGATCAATTTCTTACTACCAAATATCTTCTTCGAGCCCATTGGATATGAGAGAGGAAACGAAAAGTCGGAAGGGTGAAATATAAATCCAGATGGGTTTATCTTTTATTCATGCACCTGCGCGCCACACCAGGTGAATACGCGTAGCCGTCTCTCGTGGTGGACGTACGTGTATGTGTATTTACACGGTGTGGCGATAGGTCGCGACCTAGCAGCCTCGTTTCAATGACCCTTCGTCATTGAAGCGTTCAAGAATGTTCGTTATATTCGCTAACGAGCCAGGAATTAATGTGGGGATGAGTCTCGGCCACGGGAATAACGTGGGGGATGGCGTTTATAGATTTCACCCAAAAGGGGGTACGTAAACACTGAATAAAAACTGGCTCTTTAAAGTATTGCTATCGATTGCCTTCGAATAAAATGGAATCGAAGGTGGAGCCTATGCAGGCTGTCTTGCGAGGTGTATTGGAAACATGCTCGATGGATTTCCCGACGAAGAACAGGACGATCTAAAAATGCCTGTCGAAGAAGACTTTTGTACTCTGGCTTTCGGATGATGAGACGCTACCTCTGTATCCGCTAGTTATCGTGAAAGGGGAACATTCGATCGATTTCACGGCGGATGTTATTGAAGCGAAATAGGCTTGTTAGGCTACTTGGAAACGTAGAGTATCAAGAGTTGTTATACTTCGTTCGTGTCGATTCCCCCTGGAAATCGATCAATCCTAGTTCAGCACTATATTTAGGCGCAGGTCTACTGTCCTAGTTCTGTGCGCGAAGGGCTGAATATTCATACGTTTTACTAGGTGCACAAATTAATTCGTGGCCTCCTTTTCATAGATTTGTTATTTATTTACCAAAAACCAAAATATAATCCATACTTGAAAATATTCCCCATTTCACATCATTTCTGGGCCAACTGGCGAAACTCTTCTGGAAAAAATGATGGAGCTTTTGAGTCGATAATTAATTGTTGAGGCCACGAATTAATTTGTACACATATAAGTATAAATACAGAGGAATTGTATACTTGTTATTTGTGTTAGGTATCGAAATTTTGAAGATTTTGAAAATGGTACGATCCAAAAGGTTGTCGTTCGTTGAATGAAACCTGGGGATTTCGAGTCAGGACTGATTTGCTTTACGCAGGGATTTAATTGCTAATTGGAGCGCAGGTTGCATCAGCTATTGATTCGTCTGGCACACGGATCTCGAACCAATTGGGATCATATAAAAAAGGGATTACATTTCGAAGCGAAAATTGTAGTTAGTCGATGAATTCTCGGAATACCAGATCCATGTGAATTTGGTGCCAGGGTTTAATCGCCAATTAGAAGGTTGAATATCGCTGAGATCTGGACTAGGATGTAGAGAAATTCCTGATCAATTAGAGTCGCGTGGGGCGACCAACAGGTCCCAGTAATTAAATGTGAGCGTCGGGATGAAGAGGACACTGTTGCGTGACGGTGGTTCGACCACGCCGTGACCTGGATACATCAAACTGTTCCTGCCGGATATTAACGATTCTGAGGACGGAAAATCCAACAGTCTCGTGTGAAATATGAACCATGTTCCCATTCTAATCGACACGTTGGAAAAGACAATTCCAAAGAAATGGAATTTCGTTCCTGAATTTCTAAAATACTGTCGATCATTTAGTTCTACCCTTTCCGCTAAAAATACAAACAACATAGATTTTCTTGTTATTTATATTTTCATCCTCTATCTCGGTAGAATCATCGTTTTCCGGGATCACTCGGCGAATTCCTTTACAGCCTCATTCGTAGAAGCTACGCGGAAATGACCTCTTTTCCGTTAATATATGCAGGGTCGATCCCCCTTTGAGTTCGCCTCACCGAAACTGTAAAGCACACGTTCTGCTCGCAGAATAACGTCGATAACCGCAGCGGCTCTTCTACGTGTAAAAATAATCCTCTGACGTAGAACATATATCATTTTTTTATTGTGATCCTCACTTCGTAGAACGTTAAAATTAAAAGTTCGTCGATCAGCGCGATTAACACTTTGACTGCCAGGTCACTTAAAGTAAGGGTGTCACGCACATTGCTAAAGAGGGCTCGATTATTTAAATACCATCTGTAGGAGTGGACGTAGACAAAAGTGAGGGTTACCATTTATTTATACAAGGTCTTGAGTTAAAGGAAATTTATTTTAATCCCATGAA